CATAAAATCAGACATTTAGGATCCTGATGGAAAGAAATCTTTAGGCACTTTTGTTCTTCAATGAAAATCTAAAGAGGTAAATAAAGAATACTGATTAAATGAAACCTTATAATAGGGGAGTTTCTGATCATCATTCAATTGGTTCGTTTTTTATTTTCTGAATTATTAAATATAGGAATATAAAATCATGCATATATGATCCTGATGAAATGATATAATATAATTAATGTTTGAATGAAAATCTATAAAAGTAGGCCTTTTGCGACTTATATCCTCTATTGGAGGATGATAGAAAAATCGATTTTTTAAAGGTAATTTATTAATTGAATTAAAAATATTTAAATTGATACGTAATACATAAAAAGACTTATTTATAAAAAAAAATAAAGGTGCAACAAGTTGATATTTTACGTTTTCATTTCACATAAGTCCAAATTTGTCCAAATTCGTATTTAAAATGATGTCCTTTACAGCAGTAAATACCATTTCAATATTCTGGGTATCTGTGGCACAGGTATAACGATGATACATATTGGGTCGTGCCTGTAAAAACATGTCCAATATAAATTTACTAGCCGCTTCGTAATCGCAACGAGGTCCCTTAAATTCTGGAAAGAACTCATCTAAATGTGAGTACATAATTTTCTCAGCAAATAAATCAATTTTATTTAAAAACAATATAATAGAAATGCCTTGGAAAAAGTTCGAAACGGATTCGAAAACTTGAACGACTCCTTAAGACGATTGCGATGTTCATCTTCCTTGAGAACTTGATCATATTCCGAAATGGCCACTAAAAATAATATGGCCTTAACGTTATCAAAACAATGCATCCATTTTCTACGTTCCGATCGTTGGCCACCCACATCTGTTATACGAACTTAACATTTTTCACTTGAAAATTATAATCAATTAGGCCAGTGGTTGCCTGACGAACTCTTAAAATATCCTGATTCGTTGGCACATAATCTGGCAGAGCAATGCGATCGATATCGTCCAAATAGTAATTTAGTCGAATCGTTTAATTGGTATTCATTGCGTCGCAAATAGCATTTCTGTATGCCCTTGTCGTTCCATAGTTGTTTGATGGCCGACAAATAGGGTTCTTTCAAGTCAGTATCGCAATTGAAACTTACTTTATTTATGAGCAATGCATTTCAGTGGCATGTTCACTTTTCTCATAATCAATTTTTAATAATTCCATGGCTGCAATCATATTTTTCATGGAACTAAAAATATTTTCATATATCAATTTAATATGATGCAATCTCTCCTCATCGCTGAAGCCATTGTCGTATAGAATACGCATTTGCCGTATAAAAAGTCGATTTGCCTGACTCCCCTGTTCCTAGCAGTAAGAGTTTAATATCTTTTTTATATTGTTTAGTAAGTTCCTTTAGAACTCTTTCTATTTCTTTTTGTTCCAATTGTTCTTCATTTATTAAACAATTCATTTTAAAGTTGTTTATGGATTTTATAATAAAAAATATGTTGTTTTTGATCTGTTTTAAACAGAACTATATAGAACGTCTTATAAAGAATACTGATTCATGATAAATTTGTTCTTATCCATATACTAGTTTTTAAAACAATTGTTTTATTTTATAGAAAGTATAAATTTATATTTTATCTTCAGATGAATCAGTTAAATTATTGAGGTTTAATATATACATATGTATATATACGGGCACACATTTGACACAAGAATGTCGTTTGTCAATATTTGAGATTTTTAAATTTCGATACAAATACGTTTTTCCATACAACGTATTTGTATGGAATGGACACCATAAGGTCCATTGTGATAAGTGTACTTTTTTCAAGGAATAAACTACTCTGCATCCGTATACATGAAGGATACTTATATTAGAATAATATATGAAAGAACTAATCATTCGCGAATATACGTTTATTTAAAAAGTTTATTTTGTCGTTTGGAAGTCCTTTCCGCAGGCTTCAAAATATTGGTTTAACCTCAGTTTAATTTTGTTCCTTCTTTTGGATCTATAAACATGAAGTTGAAAATAACCAAATTTAAAAAAAACGTGTAAGAGCTTACACGATTTACACATTTATTAAAGTTTGTTATCGTATAAAATGTACATTAGGGTGATTTTCGGAATAAGATCTTTGATAGGGGTTTGGGTCATGAACCGATCTAAAAAAATTTTAAAAAGGAGATTAATGTTTTTTTTTTTTAATCTTTTTGTTGATTTGTACCATGTTATTGAAATGTTTTAAAAGATTTATTGAGAATAGATGAGTTAATTATCAACAAAATGTTGAAGAGAATTTTTGAATCCTCTATACATATATAGTTTTTGAAGCAAGTTATGAGTGCTTAAGTAATTTTTTTGAAGCGGACCTTATTTGGAGTCTTGGATCATATATGGCCAGATTCATATGAAATTTTAGTTTATATAAAACTTGTTTAGGACGATTTCTGTGGCTATACTGGTATTATGAGGTAGTTATGTAATTTTCTGAAGGGAAGAGAATTTTTGAATCCTCTATATATAATTTTTGAAGCAAGTTATGAGTGCTTAAGTAATTTTCTGAAGCGGACCTTGTTTGGAGTCTTGGATCAAATATGGACAGATTCATATGAAAATTTAGTTCATTGTTTAGGACGATTTCTGTTGCTTTACTGGTATTATGAGGTAGTTATATAATTTTCTGAAGGAAATCTCATATTTAAGGTTAGGGTCAGGTCCATAAAGGGAATTTACGTTCTTTCAAAATATTTTTGTTTCGAATTTCAATGCAATAATGCTATTTTAAACTAGTTGTAAGCATTAAAGTCAGTTGTTAGCATTAAAGTAATTTTCCTTATGAGCGGGTTCGTATAAGGTTAAATAGGAAGATTTTCATAACTATACTGGTATTACGGTAGCTATCAGCGTAAAAGTAATTTTTTGAGGAGGTTCTTATATGAGGATCAAATATGAAAACTTGTTACATTTACGACCAAATTAACATTTCTATGACGATTTAAACCATATTCCATAGAATATTTCTAGGTCCATCCTCTGGACCTTCTCAAGGACCCAGAGTATATATAATTTATAGGGTCTACGAGCGATATTTCTAAATGTCATTTGCCTATTTTGAGTTTTTAAGCCACGATTATGAATAATTTAAATAATCCTGACTCGGGCCAGTATGCCTGGTCGTGGTAATTTTTTTAATTTGATCCTTAATTGAAATACCCTCTATATATCAAATTACTTATTAAAAAAATTAATAAATTTTCAAATTAAACTTAAAGAAAAGTTTAATTTTCATGAATATTAAAATATTTTGAAATATAAGCTTTTTAAATATATATTCCTAAAATTCGAACTTAATTAAGGTATTTTTAAAAGTTTAAGGTCTAGTTATAAACTTTTTTTTTTTAATTTAAATAATTTGTGTAATATTTAAGTTTATTTAGTTTTTATAAATTTAATGTAAACATAATTTACATAAATATAATAGATTCTCCTTAGGTCTTATTCTTTTGATGTAGCATTCTTATTGGTTTATATAAAAAAAATTGTTTGTATCTTTGCGGTTGACAATAAAAATTTTAATAGAATTCATAGTAATAAGTAATTTTTATTACATACATATAAATATAATAATAAGACTAATATTCTATAATATTAAATATAAATATTATACATGGAATAATCCCTTAATACTACTAACATTAATCAGGCAGTTTGAAAAATTACAATTGATCAAAAAAATGGCTTTAAAACTAGGTTAAAATTATATAAATTAGCATTTAAAATCGTATCTCGAACAGCTCTATAAACAAAAAAGAATCCCTTGGTTATGTTCATCGGTACAATTTAAATAATAAGAGTAGACCCTTCGCTTTGTAGGTATGGTTCTCAAAAAAATGTTGGCAATAAAAGAACGAGCTTCTTGCGGATCATACGGTGATCCGGAGTATTCAGGAAAATAATCGGCCAAATGTGAGTAGGTGATCTTTTCCTCAAATATATCCAATTTATTAAAAACTATAATAAGTGCTGTGTCTTGGAAATATTGAAAAGACATAATTGAGTTCAAAAGTTCAATAGATTCTTTAAGACTATTGCCATGTTTCGAGTCCAAGGAGAATTGATCGTATTCGGAAATGGCCACCATATATATGATGGCGGTAACATTATCGAAACAATGTATCCATTTCTTACGTTCTGTACTTTGATAGCCCACATCGGCTATAAGGAATTCAACATTTTTATATTTAAACACATGTTCTTGAAAGCCTTTTGATGGTATACGTGCTCGTAAAATATCCTGGATGCTGGGTGTATAATGTGGATTGGCAATACGATCTAGATGACTGAAAAAATATTTCGTTGAGTCTAGTAGACCATACTGATGACCACGCATAAAACATTCCTGTATGCCAGCATCTGCCCAAAGTTCCTTTAAAAGCCGTCAATAAGACATTAGTAAATGTTATCGTATTGTTCAATTGTACCATTTGTATAATATACGAATTTTTACTGCATTCACTTTAGTCTTATAGGGTATCTGAAAAACTTTCATTGCTTCGATCATGGTTTGCATTGCGTAGAATATATTTTGAATTATAATGCCCACATATTTCGTGGAATCGTATGGCATATGAGTCTCGTAGCGCATTTGACGTATAAATGTAGATTTACCAGATCCCTTCGTGCCCAATAACAGCAATTTATTTGTTTATTATATTTACGTTTGTGAATTTGCAGATTTCTTTCCAATCTTTTATTTTGAAGATTTGAGCTCGTATCTCTTCAGAACATAAACAATTCATGTCGATAATAGTATTTATGTACAATTCTTATTAATATTATTCTTTTCGGACGTCTATAACAACCGTTGTTACGAGACACTCTGTCGTTACTAAGTTGTGAGATAAAATGCAATTAATGGTTTATAGCTTCTATTCTTGAGTATTTTAATGTCATTTTATTTACATTCATTTAAATTTATATGTTCATTTTAAAATTGATCATTTGCGATATACCGTCATAACTCATTTTTATACATTTTAATTTTCTTTCATACATACATATATATTGTACTTCTTAGGGTGTCTTTGACAATAGACATAGGATTTCTATTGCCGACATGTAATTTCTTTAGATTCTAATAAAAATTTAATATATTTTACTGCAAGAATAATAATTTATTATAAGAAAAATACTCTGTTAAAGAAAAACGCAATATTTGAGTTATCACATTCTTTCTTTAAACATGATATTAATATAAACTCGTATGTATTCATTTCTATATTTTTTATAGAAGGTGAGCAATTTACCCAGTAAAAATGTACAGTATTTTGGATTTTCTAATACCCACATAGTTTTATTTTAGTAAGAAATATGCAACATCAGTAAGATTTTTTTAGAAAATATGTTATTGCAGGAATAAGGTAAATGAATTTCTGTTGAAAAAGTGTTGTCCTGAATAAAACTATAAAAAACACACACACCTATATTTGAATTTTATGATTTCAAGAAAAGCGTTTTGAAATTTAAAATTTTTTTAATGTAATGCTTGTTTAACTATCGATTGACCTGAAAATGTTTTCATGGCTTTAAGAGTAAAATTAAAATCCCTCCTATTCTGCAATTTCATTTTATACAAATATTGCTTTGCCGTTGAAAATGTCATTATGGTCCATATATCTCCGGAATATTGCTTAAATACCTATAAATATGTTAATTATATAGTAATCGTGATAAAATGTTCCAGGAGTAAGTTTAATGCACCCTAAAATAATACTGTTAGGTATGAGGAACATCGGTCTATATTTGAACCTAGCCCCCATATAAGATGGTTTTAACGCACAGAACTTTGTGGTATTTAGATAAAATTGTAGAAAACTGATTTTTAAGAATTTAAAGACATTTTTAAATACTGTAGACATAATTGACCAAGGCGCCATAAAAGGGGTCTATCCCGCAATCACTTTGATAATAATGTATATAGAAATCGTAGTACATGTTAATAGAGGGATTTTTTACCATTCATTCAATAAATAATATGAATGTCCTTATTTTTTCTAAGAAGTAAATAATGAAAAGATATACTGCTATATTTTGCGCACAGTGGAACAGAGTAATAACAATACGTCCTCTGCAGTATTTAAAAAGCATAAAAATATTCAGTAGTTAGTTAGTAGTTAGTTAGTTAGTTAGTTAGTTAGTTAGTTAGTTAGTTAGTTAGTTAGTTAGTTTAGTTAGTTAGTTATTAGTTAGTTTAGTTGTTAGTTACTTAGTTAGTAGTTTAGTTAGTTTCCTTCGTTTCGTTAGTTCGTTAGTTTCGTTAGGTAGTTAGGTTAGTTTAGTTCGTTTTTAGTTCGTTAGTTAGTTAGTTAGTTAGTTCGTTCGTTAGTTCGTTCGTTAGTTAGTTCGTTCGTTCGTTAGTTCGTTCGTTCGTTTTAGTTCGTTAGTTCGTTCGTTCGTTTTAGTTAGTTCGTTCGTTAGTTTCGTTCGTTCGTTTCGTTCGTTCGTTCGTTCGTTAGTTCGTTAGTTCGTTCGTTCGTTCGTTGTTCGTTCGTTCGTTTCGTTCGTTCGTTCGTTCGTTAGTTCGTTCGTTCGTTCTTGTTCTTTTTCGTTCGTTCGTTCGTTCGTTAGGTCGTTCGTTGGTTGGTTCGGTTCGTTCGTTAGTTCGTTCGTTCGTTCGTTCGTTCGTTGTTCGTTCGTTCGTTCGTTCGTTCGTTCGTTCGTTCGTTCGTTCGTTCGTTCGTTCGTTCGTTCGTTCGTTTTCGTTCGTTCGTTCGTTCGTTGTTCGTTCGTCGTTCGTTCGGTTCGTTCGTTCGTTCGTTCGTTCGTTCGTTCGTTTCGTTCGTTCGTTCGTTCGTTCGTTCGTTCGTTCTCGTTCGTTCGTTCGTTCGTTCGTTCGTTCGTTCGTTCGTTTTCGTTCGTTCGTTCGTTCGTTCTTGTTCGTTCGTTCGTTCGTTCGTTCGTTCGTTCGTTCGTTCGTTCGTTCGTCGTTCGTTCGTTTGTTCGTTCGTTCGTTCGTTCGTTGTTCGTTCGTTTTTCGTTCTTTTCGTTCGTTCGTTCGTTCTTCGTTCGTTCGTTCGTTCGTTCGCTCGTTCGTTCGTTCGTTCGTTCGTTCGTTCGTTCTTTCGTTCGTTCGTTCGTTCGTTTCGTTCGTTCGTTCGTTCGTTCGTTCGTCTTCGTTCGTTCGTTCGTTCGTTCGTTCGTTCGTTCGTTCGTTCGTTCGTTCGTTCGTTCGTTCGTTCGTTCGTTCGTTTCGTTCGTTCGTTCGTTCGTTCGTTCGTTCGTTCGTTCGTTCGTTCGTTCGTTCGTTCGTTCGTTCGTTCGTTTCGTTCGTTCGTTCGTTCGTTCGTTCGTTTCGTTCGTTCGTTCGTTTTCGTTCGTTCGTTCGTTCGTTTCTCGTTCGTTCGTTCGTGTTCGTTCGTTCGTTCGTTCGTTCGTTCGTTTCGTTCGTTCTCGTTCGTTCGTTCGTTCGTTCGTTCGTTCGTTCGTTGTTCTGTTCTCGCTGGGTTCCGTTCGTTATATACCGGTCTTCGTCGGTCGGCTGTTTCCTTATAAATTATATTAAAATCACTTCGTCAAAATTATTTATCTATGTGGTTGAAACACTATTCATATCATTCTTTTAAAGTTTTATTATAAAATCATATATTTTATTGGTATATACACAAATGGAGAATAGATATATAAGAATACATTGTTAAGAAAATAATTCAATACATCTTTGAAAAAAGTTAAATTTTCTTACAATTTTATTTCACTTACACAGTGCGACACAATTACGAAAAAATAGTATACTCTCCACAGTTTATAGGCCTAGTTCACAACACTATCCTCCATTTTCATCACCTCCAGTTATCGTTTAACCAGTAGTTATTCTTCCAGTTTAGACAATTTTGGTATGAGAACTGTCAACATATGTGTCTTAAAGTTAAAAAATAACTAGACATTGTAAAAATGGGGAGGTTTTTTCAAGAAATGTATTTTTAATTGTTGTCGAACGTAAAAATTTTTATACAGAAATACAATCCCCACGCTTTAAAAAGTGTAAATTCCAAATATCGTGGGTCACGTGGAGAGTATTCACTTTTTGTGATTTTGTCACACAGTTTAAATTAAAACAAAATGTATGTGATTAATGTTTATACCCGTTCATTAAATAATACATTACTAAATATCACAATAAAAATTTGAATATTTGTTTTACAATAAATTGATAAAATATGTATGTAGGTATGTAGTATATATTTTCAAAGTATTTAAACACACAAGCTTGCAATTAAATTCGTGAACCCTTTAAGAATTAAGACGTTTTTATAAGCTTTTGTGTTAATTTAGACATTAATATTTTAGACATACATACAATACACTACTGCTTAACGATTTAGTTTGATGAATTGGTCAACAATTTTTAAATATTCATTGGTTTAACAATTTTTGAAATCTTTACAATTTATTGCTCCAGGCATAGACTTGGGGTACAGCTGATGGATAGGACAAATCATACATTTGAGATTTTATGAAGTCATGTTTGTCGTGGGGTTCAGGACGAACAGTTGCCAAACCTGAAAAAATAAAATATTGTAATTATTTCTAGATTTTTTAAGACTTAATAGCAAAATGTTTAGGTTAAACAATAGATTTTTTGTTTTTTATAAACAATCAAATTATGGTCAACACCCTCCCCTGTGTCTTTTTTAATTCACTTACCATTTGCATAAGCATATTCCATAATATAAGCAGCAATTTCCATAGAACATTCAGTAATGCGATTCAAAGGTGGATATAGAGAACCCTTGGACAAATCTTCGGCCGAACATAAGTCTGCTAAGCGTTCAGCTGACAACAGGAACACATCTTCCGGTATGGTTAACATACCGGCACAAAGAACACCCAAGGCAACACCAGGGAAAATATACGAATTATTACCTTGACCGGGATAGTATTTCTTGCCATTATATTCAACGGGATTGAAGGGAGATCCAGAAGCAAAAATACATTTACCCTTAGTGTAACTGTAGGCTTGTTCGGCGGTACACTCAGCTTTACTAGTTGGATTAGAAAGGGCAAAAATAATGGGCATTTCATTGAATTCAGCCATCATTTCAAGAATTTCGGGTGTAAAGGCACCACCAATAGCAGCGGCAACCAATTAAAACTGTCGGGCGTACAATACGTACAACATCGGCCAATGTGTCGATGGGTTCATGGGGTTGAGCAAAACGTAATTTATGCTCGGTCAGACCTCCCGAGGGACGATTTTGTACGATAAGTCCCTTACTATCAATCATCCAGATAAGTTTCTTTGCTTCAGCCTCACTGAGACCTTCCTTCATTAAAGCCATCAAACATAAATTGGCAATACCCAAGGCAGCTTCTCCAGCGCCGAAGAATACTATCTTGTTCTCCATTAATTTGGTGTTCTTGATTTTCAGAGAAGCTAGCAGACCGGCAACAGCCACAGAAGCTGTACCCTGTATGTCATCATTAAAAGTGCAGTAGTCATTGCGGTACTTGGCCAAAAGGCGGAAAGCGTTGGCATTGGCAAAATCTTCAAATTGTATCAAACAGTTTTGGCCAAAACGACGCACAGCGGCTGTCATAAATTCTTCAATAAACTCATCATACACTTCACCAGTAACACGTTTCTCACGTATGCCTATATATAGAGGATCGTTGAGAATAGATTCGGTATTGGTGCCCACATCCAAGGTAATGGGTAAACATTGACTGGGTTTAATGCCGGCCAAAGCGGTGTACAAAGACAATTTACCCACAGGTATACCCATGCCATTGGCACCCAAAT